AGTAACAGCAACTTGATAACATCTGCACAATCTTTGACAGTTTCAAGAAGAAAATGTGGACTTGGCAGCACCATTAAGGCCAGGGAGTCATCTCGAATGGAAGAAGTGTATTGCACACTAACCTGGATAACGAACAGTAGAGGGATTAGCATCCTGTCCCTTCTGGTGCAACCAAGTCCACTGAAAGATTCGTCGTTGCGCCCGGTATTTATACGGTCGAGATGGGGGCCTTTGGTTGACGTCACTGTGTCAGTCCGCCACTGTCTGCGCAGTATGCTTTCGTTGATGTCGGGTGGTAGCAGTTTCGTTGCGTCCATGGCGCATTTGTCCGGCGCAGGTGTTGTGTTGACTTGCAAACTGGCTGGATCACCGGCCGCAGCGATATGCCCCGTAGACCACAAAGCGACCTGGATAACGAACAGTAGAGGGATTAGCATCCTGTCCCTTCTAGTGCAACTAAGTCCACTGAAAGATCCGTCGTTGCGCCCGGTATTTATACGGTCGAGATGAGGGCCTTCTGTTGACGTCACTGTGTCAGTCCGCCACTGTCTGCGCAGTATGGTTTCGTTGATGTCGGGTGGTAGCAGTTTCGTTGCGTCCATGGCGCATTGGTCCGGCGCAGGTGTTGTGTTGACTTGCAAACTGGCTGGATCACCGGCCACAGCAACATGCCCCGTAGAGCACAAAGCGACCTGGATAACGAACAGTAGAGGGATTAGCATCCTGTCCCTTCTGGTGCAACCAAGTCCACTCATAAGGAAATGACAGCGGCATCTATGGCGAGTACGCGGCAACCGTCTTCTACAGACAGCTGTCCAATGTCCTGAAGAAACTGAAAACTGCCCTGAAGATATGTCCTGAATCAAGTGAAAACTGGCCTGAAAACTTGGGTGTAGCAGTGAGAGAGAAACAGCAGCCCTTTCTGTGCAGCTGCGGATAGGGAGAGAACGAATGTGAAAGCGTGGAGGGCCACTCATGGGATGCTCATGTTGCGACAGAGGTTGTGAAGGCCACCAAATAATTTAACTTTATACAGCGAAACTTGAGATATGCACCAGCACGTTTGCAATTACTGCATATTTAGCATACATTCGCCCTATGCTTGAGTGCGCTTGTCCAGTATTAGATTCCTTGGCGTATTTCTAATTGACAAACTTAAAAAAATACAGAACAGAGCTGCAAGGTTTGTCCTAAGCCACTACTCGAAAAATCACAGCTGTACCAATATTAAAAATTAACTAGGCTGGGAATAATGATCGTCTTGTCAAATTAAACTGCAGTTAAAGCTCCTATGTCAAGCATCTCGTGGTAAAACTCGCTTTTGAAAATAAATGTACCTACACAGTCCTCATTATGTCGTTTCACTCTATGGTCATTGTTTTAAGCCTTTAGAATGTTGTACTAGACCTAATTTGTATGCTAATTCGTTTTGTTCATTCCATTAGGGAATGAAATGGCTTATTAAGAGAACAAGTGCGCTGTGGCAATGAAGACATACTTTTCTTGACATTGTACCCCCGCTGCAGTAGTGCCTTTGAAATAGAAATGTGATGTGAACGCGACTTTTGTTTTATTTGTACAGTCGAATCTCGATAATTCGAACTCGAGGGGGCCCGAAAATTTGTTCGAATTAAAAGAAGTTCAAATTAATGAAAGCTAAATAAACGGAGGGCTCTCCATGCAGTGGTGAATGTGCATTGAGCTAACATACGAGGGGGAAGTTTCAGAAGACTTACATTTATTTACTTTTGGCTCCAGCATCCTCCTGGCAAGAGAAGTTGCGCGCGAAAATGTCCAGCGCCGACATTATCTAAAGACGACGATAACAACGACTGCTGCATAGCAGAACCTCCCGCTCTCCGCTACGCAGCCACAGCGTGACGAGAAATGAGAAGCGTCTCCACGCGGAGAGAATATCAGAAAAAACCAACACTCCATGGCGGCTTTTTTTTTTTTTTTTTTGCTCTCTTCGCGGATGTCATTGAAAGGAGAAGGGTTACGTGATTGATTGATTGATTTGTGGGGTTTAACGTCCCAAAACCACCATATGATTATGAGAGACGCCGTAGTGGAGGGCTCCGGAAATTTCGACCACCTGGGGTTCTTTAACGTGCACCCAAATCTGAGCACACGGGCCTACAACATTTCCGCCTCCATCGGAAATGCAGCCGCCGCAGCCGGGATTCGAACCCGCACCCTGCGGGTCAGCAGCCGAGTACCTTAGCCACTAGACGAAGGGTTACGTGGCAGGGAAGGAAAAAGGAGAAGCATAGCACCGGCGCATGAGAGTTTCCCCTCCCCCCCCTCAAGGCGCAGAGCCGTGCTCCCGCAAGGGGCAAGAGCTGCAGAAGATAGTGCCATTTTCCTTTCCTTCAACCACACATTCATTCAACCCAGTGACGGCTTTCTTCAGTGACGGCTTCCTTTTTTTTCCCTCTCTTGGCGCGCAGCATTGGAAGGAGCACGGTCTTTACCTGGCAGGAACAAAAAAGGGAGAAGCGTGAATTACCGGGCATTTTTGCCCATTGGAATACACATAGCTTTGACGGGACCTCATTGTGAGTTCGAATTACCCGAAAGTTCGAATTAAGCGTGTTCGAAATAATGAGATTCGACTGTAATACCAGCGTCACTCGTGAATTTTTAATCGCGATCAGTGCCAATCTGGATCGACCACATTTTGGATTAAGTGCTGCGACATGGTCAGTTTTAATTGCGATCAGACCAGATCGGTATCAAGGCTGTCGCGATCCGCGCATGGAAATCTGGCTAAGAGATTGTGATTTTGTGTCGTTTGCACCCCCTGGTCGATCTTGTTGAAAGCAAAAGCAACAAGAAAGTCGAGCATAGTTCTGTAAAAACAGATTTGAAAAGCTAGATATTTATTCATAAAAGACATGTTAAACTGTTTCAATTTAAAAAATATCTGTCGTATTGCATATCTTAAAATACGTATTGACCGCATGTATTTAAGCAGACACTAAGCATTGACAACTTCTACTCTCGCACTGTCGCAGCAGTTGGAGCATCTCTAAGCAGATTGTTTATGAGTGTCGCCAACTTTTCGACTACGTTGTAGCGTACGTGCACTTCGTGGGCGAATGAAGAGACCTTTCCATTAATTGACCCCAGGCTGGGACAACCGGGAGACTTGAAGCGCAGGAAGTGAAACTCTGGTGTGCACAACGAGATTGCCGTTTCACTGGACGGCTACAAGCAGGTGCCATCAGGAATAAAAGTGAAAATTAAGATTCTTGCACAGCAATACAGGTAAGTGCAAAAAAAAACAACTCTACTGAATGATGTGTTTATGACAAAATTTTTTAAGGCCACGCAATGTTTTCAACATTCGAGCTGTTCTTGCACAAATAAGATATTGTTGAATAATGACTTTATTAAAATATTGTACAGTCCAATCTCATTATTTTGAACTTCCAGTTAATTCGAACTCACGATCAGGTCCCGTCAAAGCTATGTGTATTTCAATGGGCGAAAACGCCGGGTAATTCGAATGCGCAAGCATTTTTGACGGTCAATTCGAACATACCGCGCTCCGAAAATGCTCTCAGCACCCCGCCTAATCCCGCGGTGGTGTTGAGCTGTGGTTGCACACGATTCCCCGTATAGTTACCTGAACATTCAGGAAACACTTGGAGGTTACGATTACCCTTCATCCAGATATTATGCATTGTTTCAGCTGGCAGGCACCTTTGGAAAGTGGAAGGTCAACAAACCTTAGTGAAACTACAGTTTATTCGGGCGACGCCATTACTTCCACCGCAAACGTGGCCTCAGCTCAAGTTTTACTGAGGGGAGTGCAGGCTCCTATTCACCTCGCAGCTTCACGTGATGGACGTAGATCAAAAGGACGGAGACGACATCTCAGCAAAACAAATTCCAGAAGACGATCCATGCACATAAGAGGAAAAATCGGGCAACTGACGGGGACATTCACCCAGTCATGGCATAGGAGACGAGCGTCTAGGAACATACAGAAGATGAACGCAGCTCCAAAAAAAGCTGCCCTTGCTAAAAGAAGACATCAAGGTCATTATCTGACTCAAGGACTCCATTGGCATCACTGAGTGGCAGAACATCATTGTAGTGAGTACACCTGTGCTTGCAAGAGGAGAAAAATACAGTGCGATGAAGCCCTTCCGAATAAGAGACAGAACATACGAAGTCACCGCATACACCATGGCGCCGGAAGATACGTCGAAGGGAATCATCCGAGGTATACCAGACTATGATACTTCCAGATATCGAGAAAAGCCTAGTGAACGAGGAGGAACACCAGCGTATTACACACGAAGAAAATGGGTCGCACCGATCCACGCGATCATTGTATTGCAGGGCATGTATGTACTACATTATGTGTACTAAAGGAGTTGGAGTGACCGTGCATACTGTACAAGAAGCAATATGAAACGTGTCACCCGTGCGGAGGAACTAGGACACAGATCGGGACGTTTTGCCCCCAGTCGCAAGCAAAAAGGTGTCGTGAATGTGGCAGTGCGAAGCCCACTGCCAATGATCAGTGCAAGCCTAATGCCTTCTTTGCAGCAGGGACCACCCGACTGGTGACAAGAAATGCAAGGCAAGATTTGGTCCATTGCAACGAGAGTAGACTGTGTAACAAATTACAGAGGTTGTCAATTTACAACAGCCGTTGCAGCCAAGTGTCGTTTTCTGTAAACCTCCATTTTGTTGAATACCCCCAGCCTGCTTGCAGTCAGTGAAGATGCTGCGGTAGAGAGTAACCCAGCGCTCTGGTGGTGGAACTTGTTTATCAGGCAAATGGAGCCAGATGGTCCGTGAAATCTGCAACTAATCAGGGTACAGTCTGCTGTCTGAACATATCGCTTCCCAGTTTAAATCTGGGCCCCCTCTGCTGATCCAGGCTAATGGACGAGCAGTGTGATGGGAGAGTGTTTGTATGTAAGAAACTGATATGCTGCTGTACACAGATTCTAGGCAACTCGGCGGCCAACACAGCTTACCTCTTGAGTGAGCTCTACAAGTAGACGCTTTTGGTGCTCTAGGTTAGCATTGGAGGCCAGCGAGGCAAGCACAGATGTCGTGACAGCAGCTGGGTTGGCGCCTGCTGAGATGCGCTCAATCAGCTCGCTCACAGCCTGTCCCGACACTCTTGGTGGGGGGAGGTGGAGGAGGTTCTTCAGTGGGCGTGGGGGTGCCTGCAATGCCCACCTGCAACAGACACACCCATCGCTTCAGAGGCAAATTCCCAAAAAGGACAACACAACTTCATATCAGTTACATGATGGTACTACACAGGCTCATTTCATTCCAATTTTCTGCACGCGCAGTGTGTTTATACGCAGCTGTGTCATTGCCAAGATGGCTTGAAACAGTACTATAGTCAAAAACTCAAAAGTACGTACCCACTTTATAATAACGGTTGAAACATAGTAGCGACAAATTACCGACAGTCTCTCATAGAGAAAAAAGCTTCCCGGAATGCATGAGCCGTAGTGGTTGTCTTATGCCCACCGGTTAGTGTGAACCAACAGCACACCACATTAAGATTTTGAGCTATAAAAGTTTACTACGCCGCTGGACTTGCATACGTCACAATGTGCTGCAGACGAGTTTTCGTCATTCCAATAAGAGTGAAAATTTCCCGATCAAGTATTCCCGGTTCCATGCGATTGCAGAAAATGTCTTTGCAGATAATCATAGAAAATAAATGAAGGTGAGGTGGTGACATCAACAATCTCACCGTATGACTTATCACTTAGCAGCAGGTTACTGCCTGGCGTAGGCTCCAAACTGGAACCTACAAAAACCGACACACTGTATGTCGCATGTACCCCTTTCTTACAGGTATGACTGCCCTTGGCGCTGGTCCACACCAACCCGGCATATTATGTGGGAGTGCCCACTACTCAACCTCGAACACCACCACATGAACACTGCGAACGAGCAATGGAAGCCACTGCTGTACAGCTTGGCCCTCGACGACTAGATCAGGCTCGTCCAGAGAGCGGAGCGGATGGCAACAGATACTGGAGCCCTGGACTAAAGGCCCATTAGTAAAGCCCCTTTAGATAAACCCACAGGAACTTTCTTTGCATGTACATAAATAAATAAATAAAGCTTGTTATACTGTATTTACTCGTGTAATGCACACACTTTTGTTTCTATAAAAAAGGGAGCAAAGTTAGGGGTGTGTTTATTTTGCGGGGCAAATTTTATAAAGCTTTTTAGATGAGCAAAAAATGCAGTAATGAAAAAAAAAAAACGTTTGGTCACTTAGCTTTTGCAATTTACATAAACACTGTTCGGAAAACAGCTTCTTCGTTACACTTCACTCATCTTCGGTGGTCAAAGGCGCTATCTTCTGCAAGCTGCTCCCGTGCTGCCTGCACACGCCATAAAAGCAATTCCCGGCTATCTTTTCTCGCAATCGTTTAACCGCAACAACGGATCTTCTGTGATCTCGAGAGGCACCCACAAGCATGTGCTATGACCAGGCCATTGCACTGTAGCAAGTAACCAACATGCAGCAAGCACTGAGCATGAAAACAAACCGCGTTACGAAGATGAATGAAAAAATATGGCCGCCGCATCGCTGTCCAAAGAGAATTAAAAGGCAGCCTATACCTTGTGTTCCTTGAAGTATGCGCGGATAACAAGTACAAAGAGCAAATCGCCACCGAAGCGAGAATCGGGAGCGTGCTACCATGTTGCGAAAAAGCATGATTGTTATTAATGATAGCTTTTTTTTTTTTTTTTTCTAACATGAGCAGGGCGTGGAAGTGGACTGAGTGTTTTGGAGCCGCTCAGGGAGCAGGAATAATGCTGTTTTGAGGCAGCTTTGGCGCAGCAAAAGGGGAAATTTTGGGAGCAAGTTCGGAGCACTAAAAGGTGCGTTTTGGAGCAATGCGAATATTTTGGGAACGACTTTCTAGCATCAGACATCATCGTCAATCAAAGATATTTCTCGTAAAAAAAATTACAATGGTTCGCACTAAACATACAGTACTAGCGAGCTTACCAGATTAGCACCCACAAATATAATGGGTGTCTGTGATACAAAACATGCTCATTTAATACTCGCATTGAAACAAAAAGAAGTGAGTGAGTGAAACAACTTTATTGTTGATCCAGCATAAAGAAAAAAAGGAAGAGAAATTAAAGATAGACTAGCGTTCTTGGAGGTCCCGGGAGCAGCAGCCTACTCGCGTTTAAACCCATGGGGGACGCGCTTTCCAGGTCCGTTGGCGTTTCAGGATGCCAAGCACGTGCTGGACCAGTCTCTTTCGTTGCCTGGCTCTTGGCTCATTATTTGCTGCTGATGTATATTCTGGGTGCTAAAAACGGGGGAACTGTTTTTTTTTACGTGAACACTCCTACTGCAATGAGTCTCGCTAGCCACAGCAGCGTTGCAGCTGATGTTGCACCTAATGTGTGAAACGGCGTATAGGTAATCGCGGCAAACTTTCCTTGCAGAAAGTTTGTTATCCCCATGCTAGTTATAAACACACTACTCTGCTCATCTGTGCTTGGTCTGAAGTGAAGTGGGGACAAGCAATCACTCAGCAAATCCGTGCACACGGTAGTGCAAGCCGCCCGACATCAACGACGTGGGCGGCCGAGGCGCCATTCTGCACGGAACTAACCAGTAGATTTTCAGAGTCCACGCGACCGCTCCGCGTTTCAATGAAACTGTTAGTTGTCGCTTAGTATCGTGGTAGAGAAGCGCACATATGTATCGCGGAAAGCCAATAGTGTCTGTTCTATCGCTATTTCACTCGCTGCGTATCCCAGACGAGCCAAAATGCTCTTTGGCGTCAGCACTAGGTGCTATAAAACGATCGTTCTGAGAGTAACAGCCTAGTATATTTTTCGCGCTTTGGCAGAATGAAGAAAAGAGTTTCTGGCGGGTACTTTTGGCAACATTTGCTGTGGTACTGTACCTGTTTCAGGAAATATACATTTGTGCTGGTAAGCGCGCACTGCCATTTACCCGTATTCCTGGCTGATACAAATTAGCGCAGTTTCACTGTACTGCTAGATAATTCACAGTTACTCATGCTGGTGCCACCACTATGGCGGGGAAACCACGGTGATAACTGCGATGAGACGAGCACTAGCAAACCGAAATACAACCAGTGAACACCTATACCGCTTCGATACAACGAGATCGAATTACACTGGATATGGATGCGACTGCGTCCTGTCCTGTCAACAGTCAGTGTTGCTCGGTCGACGATAATATTCGGCTAAATTTGCGGCTTGCTTTTCCAATAGACAATTATCGCCGAAATTGCCGTTTACGCGCAGCCTAACGCAGCAGCTTAGATTGGTGCAGCACTTCCACCCCTGCATGAGACGCGATGGCAACGAATGGCCCTTTGCGACAGCCATGGCGACAGCAAACCCTGTCGTCGTCACTCAAAAATCACGGGCGTGTGGGCGGGCCTTAAAATTTCGTATTTGCAGGAAGCGACCGTCGGTTGGTGTCGGCACTTTTGTGACCTTCGCTTGCTGTGAGCTAGTCAGCTGCGATGCCTCCACATTCGCACTGTTCGCGAATCCCCCTGTGGTGCATGAATGATTTAAAAAAGAGGTGGAGCGCTGTGGACAGATATGAAGAAAAACAATATGGCAGCGGGCGAGGGGGAGAGTGAGCAAAAAGGAAGGGGGTTGGCACAATAATAATAATACAATAATAAAAATATGGAAGAGATCCAACGGGTAAGGAGGCGCAAGGTGGCGGTTAGCGGGACTACAGCGAACGAATGTAAGTGGTGCATTTATTACGCGGGAAAAATGAAAATCAAAATTTTGATGACTTAAGTTGGGGTTCCGTTTATTATCGAATTGCATTCATTACGCACGTAAATACGGTAAATAAAATCTAGGAGACTTTAGCGTTGGGTAGCACACAAATTGAAAACATAGGAAGACTTGGCAAGAATGCCATGGGGAATGGCACGATTGCTCAAGAAGTTTTCTTTTCATCTGGTTCGAATGGATAGGTGTCATCTAGTGGGGCCCACTTGAACCAGGCAAGCGCAAAATTTTTATTGCACAAACATCGTGCATTCTACTTCTGGTGTGAATGCCTTGCAGCAGCGCAATTACAAGTGAAGTCATTCTTTTTTAATCATTTTTTTCCTTGAAAAAACCTAGGCAAATATGACGTGTTATGCACAAACCGTCACAAGATGTTGACACCATCGTCCAGTAATCCTGCCTTCCTACAACTTTTTAAGTATGCCCAATGATGCTTCCGAAGTCTTCCGATTTGGAGCACTTTGGAGCAGCGAAATTTTCCATATCGAAGCAATCTGGAGCAGATAACTTTAAATCCTGGAGAAGGAAGTTGCATTTACGTTCAAGAACATAAAAAATATTCTGAGGCTCTTGTAAGAGCTAGAAATATTTAGATTTATTGCAAATGTCATGGAGCCAATCATCTTAGAAACACTCCCTATTTCAGTTGATGATGCAAGAATAATGGCATCATGCTGTTGAGCATTCTGAAGAAACTTATTCAGTGATTATTTCTGTAGCAAATAAACAGAATACTTCTTGATTGAAATTGTACTTTATGAAATAACAATATAAATACACCTATGTGGTTATCAGCAGATATCGTAGACAAACGCTGTGATGCTAGAGACTCGCACAGTCCCAACTGCGTTTCCATAAGATGACTTCAAAAATAAAGAAAAGTTATTTTTCTTTACAAACAGACCGCTGGGCGTAACATGATCCCATTCAGCTAGTCTTAGAAAGCCAACCTTCTCCAGCACTGATATCTGTGCTGAAACCTACAGAACTTACGGAAAGACACTCCCCGAAAAAACCTTTTTTTTTATCATTTGTGCTAGAGACTTGGAAATTCAGCTAATTAGAGAGTTCTTCGTGTAGGTTTCAAATCTACAATTAGTTTTTGTGTAGCTGATATAGTTATTGATTATATTACACTAAATGACAAATTATAGCTGTCTGTACGGGCACATTTTCATGTACTAAACTTTTCGAAAAAGTATCGTGCTATGGTTTACTTAGCTCTTTGTATATCATAGAGTGCCGATATATAGCAAAGAAATGTGTACAGTTACTAGAAAGTGCTAAAAAAATTATGAAATTTCAACCAGTGTTTCTTTCAGTTCCCTGAAATATAACCTTGTTTTATTGTAATTACTACTGAGAGGTAGCGCAATTTCAAGTAGATATCGGCTTTCTACATACCTTCAAGAATATGCACGCCAAATTTCGTTGGTATGCGCCAATCCTAAGTGTACGAAAGGTTTCCTGGAAAACATGCAAGTTTCCAAAAATTTGAAAAATGAGAAAAACAGGCTTGAAAGTTACAAAAGCATGTATTCCTGAAAAAAATGTTACGATGTGAATCTTCAATTACATTGAATAGCGGCCTTTACGGAAAGCACACAAGTGTTCAGAACCCTCCCGCACTGTAGCTGGGCCCTTCACGGCTCCTACGGTTGGTCTCCTCGGTGCGAGCCCTTTTTCACTGCACTC